GTTCATTGATAAATGGTGGCATACATTACAGGTATTTTTGCATTTCTCATCTCAGTAACATCATGAGGCAAACAAGACACTGAGCAAACAAAACACATAGCTGTAAAGACACAGCTTCAGTTCTGAGAACTTTGTAGAATAAATACTCCATTTCTCTGTTCTGTGATGCCCACTTAGTGTTTTTAGGAAAATCTTTTGCTCAAAAGTACACCTTACAGAATTAAAGGCACTCATGAGGGAAGGATTTTGTTTATCCAGTACCTACCAGAGAACTCAATGTACTGGAAAAGATACAGATTAGATAACCTACTAGGCCTTTATATTTTATGCTTTCAATCATACATTTCTCCACTACATTATTTAACAGTCAGTTGGAATTACAGGACAAGGCCATAAATTACCAGAAATGTCTCATAAAAATACTGGTGTTTTCTGGAAATAAAACACCCTCCACATTTCAAATCCAATTTGAGTAAATCTGTTAATGATGGGGAACAAATATAGAGTACATTCTGTACCAGCTCAGGCATCCTGCTTTGGAAAGTATACCCAGGGACATAAAATTTAAAGCTCCCATATTTTGTGATTGTAGTTCTATAAGCTGTTTGGCATGGTTGCCATGCCAGGAAAAGATCAAAAGTTACAAGTCTAAGCATAAAACCTAGCAACAGAGCCTATAGAGTTCATTAAAAGTCAACCCTATCCTTGTACACAGGATCAAATACTTACAGTTTGTTTTTTTTTAATTGAATGAGAAAATACATTTCTCATAACAATAGCAATTATTTTTAATATGACTCAAAGTACCAAGCACTTTCACCTATGAGCTCATACTAAATAAACTAGGCACAAAAAAAGCTGTTTCTGCTTTTGCTTCATACATTACCTTTAACTCCATCAGCCTGTCTCAGTTTAGCAGTGCTGATGCTGCCAGGCTCCAGTAGAGGGAAGTGATCCTTGGTAGACAGTATCTAGATCAAATTCTTCCTTTGATTTTATACTCTAATATATGAAACATACGAATATGTATGTTCATGTATTTTATGTTCATGTATTTTATAGTCTGGGTAGGTTTCTTACACAAAACAGGGTCTCTCAGGGTCCTCTTTATCCTATGTTCTAATGTTAAAGAGGTTACCATCTCTGTCTAGAAATAATGCAATCAGGTAAGCATTAGCTCTAGCCCATTTGTTTGGCTGTGGCACAAGTGATAAGAAAGCATGAAAAAGTGGATTTAACCAAGAGTGCTGAGCCCTGATATATACTGAATGTGAACTCCAACAATTCTGTGGGGAGAAAAAAAAAGGTAGGGAAATTACCGAAGTCAACAAATCTGAGTTCCGAAATTAGAAAAAGCAATGCAAACATGAAGGGCCTAGCTTGGAAAGGACATCCCCCTAGTGAAGAAAGGACCAAGGTGTAGAAGAGAAAAGGACAGGGAGAAGACTTCTCTGGTAAGTTTGCTGTTTGGGCTACTTTTGCTAGAAAAGTGACCAAAGACCATTTCTGTGGAAGAAGATGCATCTAAATAATTTCCCAGGAATATTTCCCACCATTTTAACTGCCGATCATTCAACATGTACACAGATAACACTTGGCATATCCCATCGACATGCCTGGGAATTGATATAAAGCTGACTGGTGTAGGCGTGAGTTTGAAGATACTGCAGAGCAAGATTAAGTGCAGTTATGCTGCTACTGTTCCTTCTTGTCCCTACAAAATCTTAGACTGCTCTGAAAGCTGTAAACCACTTTGCTAAGCATTGTCAAACACAGCTGTTACTTACTGGATGCTCTGCATCCAGATATGCTTTACTAGAAATCACAGAGCTGGTGATTGAAGATGTCCCTCATCATTGCAGGATGGTTGGACTAGACCTATTCAACCCAAACTATTTTATGATTTCATGTTCCTCCAAATTTACAGCAGTATTTATACAAGTAATTTCAATATGAAATGGTGTCTAGATAACATAAGTCTAGCTCTCCTATCAAAGAGTGAGAAACACTAAATCTCAGCCTCTGGAATATTTCAGAGACCACCTTTTGGTAAACTAATCATCAGTGAAATAACATCTGTGGTCACATTCCCTGTTCCCATTGGGGATCAGCCTAGTCACAGCTGTGCAGCTAGACCATACTCCTAGGAATGGTACCAGAACCCAAGCTGGGTCCTTGCGCAGTTCAGCGCACCCTGCTCTTTCTAAGGAAATGCTTTCAGGGATACACAAGGGGTTCCTTTTGCATGTGCTGCTGGTGACGGAAATCAGCCGTTACCTGGTTCTTGTTTTATCAGGGTTGCTTTGTTGAGAAGAAGAAAAGAGGAAGTGGACACCTGTCTGAACAAGAAATAGCTCGGGATGTAGCATGGACACCAGGAAAAGAAAAAAGTAAAAAGAAAGATAAATGATTCAAAGTAACTGTTTGCTTCTAGCAATAAAATAAATGATTCTCTTCCAAATGTATTTGCAGCACAGCAAACACGAGCTGGCAACCTGACTCATATTCAATAGAAGTTGGATGTAATTTTTCTGCTTTTTAGCCTAAAAGTATCCCCTCCAAATTTGCAAAAAGCAGTGTGAGAGAATCCACAGATTCCATGAGCTGGTGCTGCCAGCCCCAGCCCCAGCAGTCACTATGCACATGAAAATAACCTACCTAGAAATTGGGTACAAAATGTTCTTTCAGAAAAAGCTGTGCATAGCAAAAGGCAAAGAGAAGAAAATTACATGGAAAGAAGTCAAGTGAAAACAAGAAGTTAAATAAATAATGAATAAATAAATTCATACCTCTGGAGTGTGCTTGAGACTGAAAACAATGAAACACATTTGGTCTGTGTTGTAGAAAAAGGACATACAGGCTTTCAGACATGTACATTGACCTAAGATTTCCTACACAGACACGGAGTGTGGGTATTTACATTCCTTGTATTTTTTTTATTTTTTTCCCTTCTGGTAGGTATTTCACAGTTCTGTGGACCACCAAGCAACAGGAGCAAAGATAGTAGTGAATGACTCACACCAGACATTTCTAACCTATTAGTCAGATATCTATTACAGGAATAAGTATTGATTCTGTGCCTGCCTAAATGAAAGATGTGCCTGATGGCTCATGAGCAAAGATATGTGATATTCAAGGATCATGGTTTTCTCCAGTAAATGTACGTGTCTTTCCAGGCAGAGATTTCCAGACAGTGCTGTATGTACTACTAGTGATGTTGGAACAGTTTCAGACCAGTTCTGCTCATGAAGATGACCACATTTTAGGAATCCTGCTTTAGTTGGAATCACTACAGCTTACTGGTGACAGCCAGGAGAGCAGGTCTAGCTCTGTCTGTACCAAACCTTTCTGTCCATGGGAACATGTTTACACCAGCACTTAACCACCAATCATCATAATTCCCTATGTGGAGGTAGATATGAAAGCCACAGAGCAGCTGGCTATCTAGATCACTCATGGGTGTATTTGCCTATGTGGAGATAGTTCCACAGTAATTCAGGGAAGAGGTGAGAGGAGATGAGGATAGCTCTTCTTTATGAAAGCAGAATGTGAGACTGAGCAGTGAAGAAAATAGGCGTGCTAAGGGAGCCTGAAGGAATGAAAAAGGCTGAAAAAAACACCCCACAGCTGTGTATGCACACAACATAGAGAGTCGCAAGCTATCTCTATGCAAGAGGTACTCAAGTGAATAAATGGACAATCCCCATTCTGAGGCTGTGACCCCAATAAACTTTTTTCCGTTTACTTCAAAGAGGCCAGTCACATGCTTAGAAATAGACAAAGGCTGTTTTCCTGTCTCAGGACCCAAAGCACTAAATGGCTAATATGTGTTCATAGCTTTACTGTGCTGCATTATTTAAGTATCTGCTCACTTACTGATTATCAGAGTCATGCATACTCAGTCCTTTTTGCTATTAACATCCCTTTGTTCTTTCCACAGCTGAGACTCTGGAATTCAGACTTAGTTAAAATCCTTGTTATAAGGTCATCATGTCTTCTTAACCTTTTGCATTTGAAGTCTTTACTGGAGTAATTTACTCTTATTTTAGGACTTACAGAGTTGCTACTGGTGTATAGGGAACCACTGTCATGAAAATTCAAAGAGCTAGGTGTGTTATTTTTGTTATTTTAGAGTGCTTCAAGTATTACATATGTATATTTTGGGATTTATATGCCTTTTTTTGCTAAATGAAAAAAATCTGTTCATGTGTGTACAAGAGAAAAAAAGCTCGATAAGAAACAAATATTGCTTATTTATTTTAATCACAATTGTTCCTCTCTTTCTCCAGCACTTATTATGGTTTTTATTCAATGTTCTTCATAAAAACAATTCCAATTAATGTCATTCACAATGTCACTTTACCAAAACTGGAAGCTAAACCCAAAAGAATGGGAAGCAAGTCATACTGGATATTCTGAGTTAGATAAGTCTGTATCCTTTCTTTGAAAAATGATGTTTCTCTATTTGCAGTTATAGTAAGAACAAAATGTATGTGTGCGAAGGTAGAAAATCGACAGCATTATCTAAGCACAAGTGTACACAATGACAGTTTTTGTTTGGTTCCTTTACAATTTACAAAAGTAACTGCAGATACAGGTTAGAACTCTGGAAGGTAAAGTTGAGGTCACACCGAAGCTAAAAATATATAATAAATCTATCACTAATTTGAGGTTTTCACTTGTTTCTTTCAGCATTTGTCTCTCCTGGGTACCTTTGATGTGCCATTGTTTGTTGTTCCATCTGCTTGCACATATATTAAGGAAACCATGTTCTGATGTGTCAGACAACTTTATTTCAGGGAACATGAATAGTTCACCCCACTACTCTCAAGAGGCAGACCACTATTTAGCTCAAACGAGCCTTCCTTGACAGTTTGAAAGCTATCTCTAAGTACACGGAACAGCGAGTGAGGCCAGGCTTTGCATCTCCCAGCAAACTCACATGGGTGAATTATCTCATGGACAGCAGTTATTCTTGTTGATAAACAAAGAGAGAAAGCAGCATGCAATCAACCCTAGGGGTGAAATCCTGTACTTTTCTTTCCTTGGAAGAAAAAGAAGAGTGGAACAAACTCCCAAGGAGGAACAAAGAACTAGAAGAGCTTACATGAATCATCGAGTCCATCTCCTGTCCACAACCAGGTGACATCCTACTGGATAAAAGAACTCTACTCTTTCCCACACTGCAAAACCCTCTGAGTATTTCCCAACATCTTCTAATTATTTCCAGACCTTTACTACAAAAAGAGCTGTAGAAAATAGTCTTGGCATCTCCCCACATTAGAGTATTTGTACTTTCAATAATAATGCGAAGAACCTTCCTAATCAGACCTAGGGAAAAATTCTTTCCTGAACCCATCATGATGATCAGTCTAACTCTGATTACAGGAGCAAGAGACAGCAGACAGGCATAAGAGAAATGTCTCCACCCTAGCTGTCCCAGATCAGTGCGAAGGAATTGCTGCAGCTGCGTTCCACAGTGCCAACGAGGAAATCAATGTACCAGCCCCTTCAGCTACAGTCACCAGTGCCAGGTTCAGGCAGCCGACCTTAGAGCTAGTTGGAGAGCCCAGGCATGACCAAAAGCGGTCTCAGACCCACTAGATGGCACTGTGTGTGGCTGTTACCAGACTTCAAACCCGAGGCACCGCTTAGCCTGAGCTCGGCAGCTTCTACCTTAGCTGCATGGCTTTGATTTCCAGCACAAGTCCCACCGCCTGGCACCTCACCCAGCTGTTCTGCCCATTCAGCAACTTTTGGGTTTCTCAGTCACCCTAAATTAGTGCTCTTTCAGACAAATCCCAGTATGTTGTGGTGGTATTTTTTTTCTCAAGAAACTCCACGGTGATATTTTTCCAGTTCCTGGACCTTGCCCAAAACATTCCAGAGGTTTCAAGAAATATTGAGAAAGTCGGTAAGTCTGAATATCCTGTCTGGCTGGTGTGCAGTGCGTATGTGAGTGGAAGGGTTCAAACTTCAACCAAAAATGCTGTAGATTACAGGAATTTTTATGTGACTGTAACTTTCCATCTCAGTCGCACCAGTTCTGCTCTGCAGGCTCAGACTGGATCCCAGTGATAGCAGTTGGGGAGAAGGGTTGCCACTGGGATCACTTAGAGTTGGATAGAGGCCTCTGTCAGGTTTCCAGACACTCAAAATGAGTATAGCAAATCTTTCATCCATCTCTGTTCAAGGTTTCTACCCTTACTGTGAGCAGTGCTTGTTGGTTAATGTTTACTGTGAAAACTGATGGGACCTCCATTTTCAGTCTGGAGAGCAGAACTTTTGCCAACCACATTTTTCTAACTGAAATGGGAGTTGAATTCTTCTTTCTCTGTCTCTCTGCTTCTATACCCTATTTCCTTATAACCTGTCATCTCTGGCTTTTTAAAGTTTCTCTTGTATTTCAGCTTCAGCAGCATCCTGAGCACAGCTTTGAGTCTCTTCTCTTTTTTTTTTCTGGGTTTTTTTTTTTCAGTCTTTGGAACACTTTTTTGTGTCTCCCTAAGTAAAAGTGCTGTTTGAAATATCCCTTCTTCATCCTCTCCCACCATTATTTGCTCCAATAAAGGGCATTAGGCATTTTCCAATTGTGCCATTCAAGATTCAGCCGCAAACTAATCTATAAACCATGCACAAAGTTGAACAAATATCAACAGTTCTTGGGCCTTGTGCATTTGAAGCAGTATCCCAGAGAAAGCCTCTATGGCTAGGCAGTGCAGGTCAGCAAAGCCCTGGGAGGAAAGCATATATGCTCATCAAGCCCTAAATAGCTAGCTATTACCCTTCATCTGAAAGCTACTGCCTCCAGACATGGCAGACACAGCAAGTGACTGTATGAGGATCCTTAAACCTCTCTCATGCGGATGCTATGGCCACAGGAGCAGAAGATAAGCCAGATAAACCTTCAGATGGAGATACTCCTCTGTTTATCAAGGGCTTATCTGGAGATATCTCTACAGATAAGCCCTGGATAAAAGATACAAGTTGGCAAGCAAGAAGTGAGAAGCAACTGTGTGAGACTGGGCATAGAGTTCTGTGCCTAAATCACAGGGCAACTGCAGGTAAAACACGTTAAAAGGGGCAAAAGAAGAGCAAATCATTCTAAACTCCTTTCCTGTTCTTTTTCTTCTTTTTCTTTTTTTTTCTTTTTCATTTCCTTTTCATTTTTGTTTTTCTTTTTTCTTTCCTTTTTCTCTTTCTTTTTCTTTTTTGTCTGAGAGATGACTGCACTTAGGTGTGCCTGGAGCCTGCAAAAAAAAATCCGAGTGTCACAAGAAACTCCAGAAATGTAAAGGTGTTTTTGAGCAGATTTTAGGGTTATGACTGGCTCAGTATAGTACAGTGTCACAGATATACAGATTACTAGAATTGGCATAAAAGTGGCATTTCTCTTTGCTGGGCAATAACATACTAAAAATAAGAAAAAAGAACAAAGTGTATCTACTCAGTTTTCCAAAATCAATGATTTGCTGTAGGTGGTTTCGACCTGCACGTAATGAGGTTTTGTAAGCTCAGATGAGCTGTACTCATTTGGGGCAGTTTGATCTTTCGGTGTAGTAACTTTAACTTACACAAGCTTGTAATAAAGTCCAGAGAGCACTAAACAATAATATATTCTGGATTTTACCTATCCCGTAGGGTAGGATTTACTGTAGGAATACTTGTGGAATCCAAAACTCGATCCCCATATTTTCTGCTACATCCATGTAATGGTTTCTTCCCAATTATGAACCTATTCACTCCAAAGACGATGGCCACATCTCACTTCTATATTTTTTCTACACCAGCAGCAAATCATTTTGATGTCAGCCTTTGCAGCTGCCAGATCATTCCTGGCATCTCTGAACATAGTTTTTGAGAACTCTGGGTCAGAAAACAGGGTCAAAATAGTTTGCCTCAGCATTCCTTTAGATCATGAACTTATATCTTCTTGCAGCACTATATGGTCTGGTTCATAATCTCATTTCATAAATTTGTTTGCTTCTTAAGAGAAAAAGGTATTTGGGGAAAAAATAAAAGAAGAAAGGAACAAAAAAATACAAAAATAAAACATTTCCATAACATTCACTAGGCCTTTAAAGAAAACTTTCACAGATGCTGACAGCTGTGTGAGAATAGTTTGTCCACAAAGACAGAAAAGTTAAACAAATGTTATGAAAGTAGAAGCAGTGAGACATCACTGGTGGTTTTCCATAAGATAAGTAATTACATGCCTGGTGTTCACATTCTGTTCTGTGTCCTTTTCCACTACTAGTGACTCATACTTAAACAGCATGGAGAATATACATTCACTTCTCTTGTAAGTTCTTGTTTGGTCTTCTAATGAAGTAATTAAAAGGAACATGTGATTTTACCAGGAGAATTGGCAAATACGAATCAAAAGGGTTTTTGATGGTGAGCCTGCAGGAATCATCCCTGAGTTCAGTGTGTGCATGGAGGTTTTATAAGCAATTAAACTCTATCCCTGAAAATCCTACCTTTCAAGCTTTTGGATCACCTGTAGGGTTTTATGGTTGGCTGCAATTAATGAGAATGTAGAAGCTTGTACAAAAATCTCAAGCAAGGAAAAGGAATATCAGACAAATAAGTTCAAATACACTTAACCTTTTCCCTGTTAGAGTGCTACTTCTCATCCTGTATTAATGCTGCTTTGAAAAGATGCTGCATTTGAAAGTTACTGGGAGGATTATGAGGCAGCACAGAAGGTACTTGTCATTTCCTGCACAGCAGCAAAAGAACTGAACTTTAGGAAATATGACAAACAGTACAAAATATTCCACAATGGAACAAAAGCTCCATGGGATGAAAAAGTTTAGAACACTACAATATTAGGCAATAGCTTTAAGCAGTATAAGACATCAGCCATGCTTCTGTATGTGTACTGCAACCTTACACGATACCCATCACCATCCTGTTCCAGCTTTGACTCACAACAGGCCAGACATCCTCAAGCTTTCTCTGCTCCTTCTTGTATGACTCTTCAGCAGCAGATTAATGCTCTCCATGCTCCCCCCCCCCCCCCCCCCCCCCCCAAAGGTTCAATGATTTTACTTCTTGGCAGTAAGAGATAAAAATTAGTTGCAGCCTCTTGTTGTCATGCTCTTGTACAGTGCATGTTTTGTAAAGTACGACAGGGACTGTCTGCTCCCCATTAACATATGGCTGAAAACAGTGCTAATGGTCTTTTAGCTGGGAAAGGTAGGACACTGGGAAGCTGTTTTCGCTCATTTGCCATTGTACGCCTGGACATGAGGTCAGAGAGAAAGCATGTGGAAAGGTCACAGTGTGCAAGGAAGGAGAGTTTTGCATCCTTATTTGCCCCTGTGAAGTCTCAAGAGTCCAAAACACGGGCTGACCTGTTGCCCTTTAAATACAGACTTTCCTCAATTAAACCTGGTGAAACACTATAAGCTTAGCTATCCTTTCCTTTACAGCACCGTAGCACTGCTGAATTCAACAGATCAAGTGAGAAAAATCAGATCCAGTTTCTCTACACTATTATTTTTGTGCGTGGCTATAAATCACAAGTGGCTGCAGGTTGTTTCTGTCAGAATGTAAACATGACTTCAGCTGTTGTTCATCATGGCAATGTTTAAAGAGTTATGTATATCACAAATAGAGTTGAACATTCACCACCGGCAACGATGTTGGTGGCAATACAGGCCTGACAGCAACAATTATCTTCTTTGCCTCCATAAGAACAAAGGGGTGGTCAGTCTTTTCTGAGCTGCTGGCTGCCTTTTCTTTCTAGGTGGACCAGGAGAAGGTGCTGCAGAGGAGATTTTCTGAGCTGTGCTTATTGCATCTTGTCCTGACCACAAGCAAAGTGAGCACATGTTTTTCTTAGCGCTTCTAGCTTGCTACTCCCTTCATTCCTGTGGAGTGCGGCGCTCCGAGAGCACTGACAACAATTGCTGCTTACCCAGTAGGAGAATACATCACTGCTGAGCCAGCTGCCTGGAAATGTTAATGCTGCTCTGAGGTTTCTTCAGGACTCTGGGCCAGCGTTTACCTCATCAGATATGTCTTTCCTTTGCTGCCCTATCCCAGGCTGTGCTCTATTCTCAGTGCAATCTGTTTTTCCGTGAGTGACAACCCTGGGGGTCCCCAAAGGTAGTTGAAGGAGAGCAGGAAGCAAAATTAAATACACAGAGTATATGGGAACAAAGCAGGGAAAGAAACAAGAAATATATACACTGCTGACATGAGAAATCCCGGCCCCAAGGGGAGGAGAGCAGGCACAGGGGCTGAGAAAGGAGCACAGCAGGACTGAGCAGGAGGCCTGGGGGGGGGGGGGGGGGGGGGGGAAGAGGCAAAGATTGTGATTCCAGCTGAAGCTGATGAGACTGCAGAGGAACAGAAGGGAAATAAATTTACGGAATCTACAGAAGCAAGAACAGAGCCCTGTAGCCACTTCTTTTCCACAGAAACACTATTATCATCCTTGTTTCTCAAGCAGAGAAACAAAATGTTTAAGTGATTTGCCTTTGGCAGCTCTGGAGCCAAGGTTCCTCCAGCCCTTAGGCATAGACATAACCAAGAGATTTCTGTTATGTGTATTACCTTCAGGTGACTTAGAGAACACTGATTAAAGTGACTTTAACTGTGCAAGATTCAAAATCCAAATACCAGATAGGGAGGAAGGTCTCTTCGGATCAAGCCTTGGCTTTGACCACCACCTTCCTTTCTTTGCCTCCTTAAAAAAAAAAAAAAAGAAAGGAAAAAGGAAAATACAAAGGTAAAAATATATGAAAGGAAGCAGGGGAAGGTTAGTCCTGGTTATTTCCCTGTACATATGTAGCGTTTGGCCTAGTCTTATTAGGCATGTCCTGCGAATCTTTTGAAGGGTCAATAAATATAGAGCTCACTGGGATTATATGCACACTACCTCTACTCTGTTGTTTCTGCTTGAGGCACCCACTAGTTACCCTAGCCATCAGTGTGTCCTTCAGCAATCAAAAACCTGGGCTAGCTCTCAATCCACCAACCTGACTCTCATGTTTGGTCAGATGGTCTGTGATGCTCGTACATGACAGCTTGCCCTTCCATGGTGCACGACCCACTGCCTATTTCCTTGTGACATTACATGTGTTGGTAATAAACTTCGCATTCATAATTCAACACAAGCATTTGATGTGGCTAATCAGCTGACTAACCTTTTCCATTTCTGATTTTTCAGAGTCTGCAGGGGGTGCTGCACAAGCTCCTGTCTCTCATTCCTCCCCCTCACTAACAGCAGGGAATAATCTGATGTAAATAGACGGGTAGTGCCAGAAATGTGACAAAGAAGGAAAGAGAGGTGCTGCATACAGTCTGAAGCAAATGCCATCTCACTGCCTTTCAGTATATGCTCATCCCTTTGTGCTACTGTAGTGGTGCCTTGTAAATGGATCTTAATTTCATAATAATATATGGCAATAATTCTTTCCTGACAAGCAACCATGACTGTGGTTGGTAAGCATCTATTTGAAAATGGAAAAGCTAAATAGGCCTTAAAGTAATTAAGACTCAAAGATTTTTTTCTTCCTACTGCAACTCCAAAAGAGAATCGGCTTCAAAACATGCCTTAAATGTATAAACAGTGTATTAGCAAGGGCATTTCTCAGTAAGGGCTGAGGATTCAGAATATGGGGATATCGATTACATCCTCTTTTAGATTTCCACAGCAGGTTTCCAAGAAGGTGGCTATCTAGAACTGAATAGACAACCACATTTTTGCTGAATAGCTAGAAAGCAAAGGAAACTCATTATGTGGTTTTTAAAAAGTCTTGTGAATTGTGGAAAAGATATGTAATGTTTCTGCTGAAAAAATGCCATCATAATTATCTATATGTTCTTTATTTCACGCCAAGAATTTTCAACAATGAATGCCTTTCTTGGGACCTTCATAAATAAATAAATAACTGGCAGTATCATTGTCATGAAATACATTTGTGCTTACTACTACACAGCTATTCTGAGCACTGCATGTATTATACGTAAATAATTGATTTTCCACCTCAGATGAGGTTGTAAAAATGATTAAAATAAATACTGTTGGTTTGAGGGTTCTTTTGTTTTTTTGTCTTTTTTTGTGGGAGAGAATCACATTAAACCATTCCACAGACACCTTTGGGCTTGCACAGCATACGGTCCCGTATGTCTTTACTTTTCAGAATTACTTCCAGACACAAACAGGAACAGATGTGGAGTGGTCATTGCCTTGGGAGTCTGACCTGCAGCATAGGCACTTCACTTTTATTATCCTTCACTTTCTACTGATCATGTATCAGTTCCCCTTACATCTTCTTTTTTTCTTGCATATGCCTATTCATGTCAGAACTGATTCTCTTTGGTAATTACACTCATCTTCAGATCCCCTTCAAGATCATGAAAACATTTGCTTTACTTTTGTCTTTCAGTTCACTGCCTGCTTTGGTAAAGCCGGGAATGGAAGTATTAAAATACCAAGGGAATGCCTGCTGTCACAATGAGTTTGATCCAAAGTTCTTTGATGTTTTTTATAAACAGTGGTTCCCAATTATTGCTTTTGGGCTTTGAATCCACCCATACCCATGGCTTTCTACTCCAACAAGAAGCATACGTATGAAAAAGTTTTCAAAAGTTTCATCTGATGGGCTTACCAATTTGATTTCCTGAACAATGTTCTCTCAAGAGTCAGATAATCATGTAACCACTTGAAAGCTCTCCATATCACCTCAGGCCAGAATTAAAACTCCTCTGCAGTCACAGTGCTTGAAGTTTCACAAAGAGTGGATAAATTCAGCCTTACAATTGAGCTGTTATTTGGTCTCTCCTGGCTGAGAAAGGGTACGCTTTCTTGAGTCTAACACCAGAACCATGTGCTGCTTTTGGAAACATAGTCTTCATTGTTGCAATGATTCGAATTCTGGTGCAATATTACTGGAACAGTCTTGGCATCATTTTGTGCTGCAGAGAAGGTTCTTGGACAATTGCTCATTTCTTCTTTCCATCTTCTCTTTCTAAAGCTGTGATTCTTCCCAGTAGTCAGTTTATATTTGAAAGAGATCATCTCAAGGGAGGTCCTAAATTTGTATGCACTGTGATGGACAGCAGTGACAGTTCATCTCATAGAAAGACCACCTATACGAGGTAGACAAATACATGTATATAACACATGCAACTAATTGTTTACACAAGTAGTTTCCTTTCCCACAAAGTTTAGGACACTTAAGATATTTGGCTCTAAAAACTCGAATTGCTTTTGTAATATTGTATAAAATACTAAATAATTGAGTACACAATTCTTTAATATTTGGTTCTGAATCTGGAATGCTACTACTATCAGAGGAACATTTTGTTTCTTTTGTCAAGATCTGCACACTTTCACCCATGGCTTAGTCTGCAAAATTCAAGTACAGTACCCTGCAATAATGCATTCTTTATCAGTTCTCTTTTATAACTAAACCCTAGGAAAAGCTGCACTGAGTCTGCATGACATGCAAGACCATATTGCAATGAACTGAGTGGAAGATGAAGTGATGGCACAGAATTTTCAAATTTTAACTGAAGTTCTTTGCTGAACTAATCCAGTGAAGGAACTTTTTCCTGCTCCAGCTGTCCTCTGTAATTTGGACTTTGCTGGTTTACCTTCCTCCTGAGGGAAGTCCTTTTCTTTGAGAATAAGCAGAGCAACCAGAACCATTGATGGGGCAGAGCAAGAAGGCAGGATCCTTGGGCAGTCTTCTGAGCAATACCAAATATGTATATATTGTAGATTCCCCCAGACAGTTGCTGCCATCACCTGGGCTTTGAGTCTGAATGTAAAAGAAAACTATAGTTTGATTGGAAAGATTACTTAGATGCTCTGTATTCCCTGATTCTGTCTGGAAAAAATATGTGATGAATGTCCTAAAAAAATGGGACAACCTGGGACAGTCTTCTAGTTCTGCTTTGGCTCTTGGGAGGTTGGTCATTATGCATGCATGTATACACAGGGAAAGGCAAGCCTCCAGTGTCTAAAGAGACAGACATACAAGGGCTATTCATCTTTTCAAGGAAGACTGCCCTTCAGCTGCTCCCATCCTATCCAAAAGGAAAGTGGGAACTGGATGGGAGCACCTTACAGGCTGTAACTAACAAAGGGCTACTAGGTGGAATATCATCTAGTGGTTATCATCCAGTCTTTAAAGCTTTGCTTTAGTGTCAGATACTGAAAGTTATGTCTATAAATCTCATACAATGCCCTAAAATAGGCAGCAATATTGTTAGACATCATAGACTCACAGAAAAAGTAGATTTTTTTTTTTTTTTTAATGCTACCAGGAGACTGACCAGGTTATGAAAATGAGCATGAAAGAGTTTCAAAAATATTTTTATTTAAATGGCAGGAGGCTTTGTTCAGTCTATTTTTTGATTAATAATTGAAGAGTTTCCATAAAAAGGAACAAAAAAAAATGTGTAAATATGTTGCACTGCTGTCTTGTCCTTTGATGAAGCAGGAAGAAAGGGACACAACTTTACATAATTAACAACTATCTTTCTTAGAAATGAATAGCTACAGAGGAACAATTAAGTTGTGTTTGGCTGTGTGAAGCCATCCATTTGCCAACTTCCTTTAACTATTCATGTATCCCCATCATGCAGTGACTACAATGAGAAAAGGATGCATTTTTAACATCTCAAGAAATCGTGGGTCCTTTGATAAAGCACAGGTTAAATTCAGCATCACAGACATCACGTTATTTTTTTCCCACAGTATAAATATTTTTCCTAGGATCTACTATTCTTAGCATTCACAGTATTTCTTTCTTTGGGCACAATAAAAGACACTGTATAATCAGCAGCATCAAATAGGGTTTCTTTCTCCTCAACCCTCAGTGGCAATGCTAACAGGCTTGTTTAGTTATTTATTCACTTGAAATTACTTTAGAAAATCTTTGCTTATCCTTTTAGCCAATAGCACAGAAAAAATGTCATCCAACCCAACCTGTTGCCTCAAAGAAATAGTGCAAACAAATACTTGTTAGTTAATGACACTGGGAAGCGATACATCAAAGGAGCAGAATTTATGTCTATGCCTTGTCTTGATTAGAGTGCTCAAATTTAATTCAGCATGCCACCATTTCCTGCTGGCTGTTCTTCTTCATCAGTAAGAAGCCCTCTTTAGAAGCTGTTTGCACCAAACATATGGACCCAGTTAAATCTGCAATGAAATTTACTTATTTGCAGTTTCAGCCCTGATTGTGGTCTCTGATTCATTCACCAAAAGGTTTCCATTTACTGAAGGAGACTTTTTCGTTTGTGGTGGAGCCCTGAAGTGCAGAACTGAATGCACTTTGAAAAGTGAACAAATTAAGAATTGAACTTTTTTGGTGGAGAGATCCATTTTGCATTTTCAAGGCACTTAAACAAATTATGACCACACTAGTTATAAATCTGTGACCTGTTCTGGTAAGTCTTGAGTCATGTGTTACGATAAGAACATTTGTTAAATACTACTATATGTATAATATTTTCTATTAAATATGCATATACAGAGAGAATGTGTAATACATATCATGCTGGCCAAAGGTATACCAACCAAAGAACCGGAGAAGATAAACAAAATAGAAAACAACTAAGCAATCTGCTCACTTTATTCCCTTGTGGTTCAAGGTCACAATAATGAGATATGGGTGATCTCTTCACACCTCATATTCTGCCAGAAAATTATTATTATTGTTATTATTACCTTCACCGTTCATTTAATTATTATTTTACCTTTGAGATAAAATGTAGTTCCAGTGTAGTTGGCTGAGATTGATAGAGTTAATTTTCATCATAGTAGCTTGTATGGTGCTGGTTTAGATTTGTGATGAAAACAGTGTTTATAAAACAGGGAGGTTTAATTATTGCTGAGCAGAGCCCACACAAAGTCAGGGTCTTTTCTGCTCCTCATGCCACCCCACCAGCAAGTAGGCTGGGGGTGCACAAGAAGTTGGGTGGGGACACAGCTGAGCCAGCTGACACCAACTGACCAAAAAGTTGCTCTATACTACATGACATCACACTCAGCAATAAAAACGGACACTATTGATGGAGGACTGACTGGGCATCAGTTGGCTGGCTGTGAGCAATTGTGGATTTGTTTTTTTGCATAACTTTTCTTTGTTTTTTTTAGGGGTGGGAGCTTTTGGGGGTTTTTACTTATTAAATGTCTTTATCACAACCAACAAGTTTTGTCACTTTTATCCTTCTAATTTTGTCCCCATCCCCTTGCAGGAAGTGAGGGAGTAGCTGCATGGTACTGAGCTGCGACCCAAGGTTAAACTGCTACAACTACTCACACAGCTAACAGCTAGTTTTTGTTGTGGTTGCTGTAGCATCTTGCCATGAAGCAGAACTTCATTACATTCATAAACATGTTAAAAATGGGAAGTCAGCTTTCACATTGCTCTTTAAGGAGAGGGGCAACAGTAGAAATAGATAGATGAGGGATCACAAGCAGGTAAAACTGGCTGATGCTAATATGATTGGAAGTGGTACTGGAAAATACACTATGCTTGTGGAGGCAGACACTTAACTGAGGCAGAATAAGAGCTGCTGTTTAAAATGCAGGTCTGATGTAAATGACAGCAGTCTTTCTGACATGTCCTGGACTCAACAGCACAGTGCTCAGATGCCGAGCTGTGTCAAAGCCCCCTTGCAGATTGCTAACACCATATTCACACTCTTGGGAATCAGTCCCCCAAACCCCCCTACCCCACCCCTTGCTCTGCAAAACAAAAACAAAACCCTCAAACATATGAAAAAGATCAGAGAAAGCTTCTGAGGATAAACAGTTATTGAAGCTCTGATTAGTTTATATCTGATTAAAAGACAACTATACACATTGCATTCAAATAGTGACAGAAGA